ATATTCAATATAGTCTCCAACTTTTGGACCCCACTGTATAGTTTCATGGAAAAAATTGAAGGGAAAATTGATCCAATTCTCCTGTAACACAGAGGTCATGTCTAGAGGTCAGGTCAAGTATTTAAAGGAATATACCTGTTTCAATACAAGTCAAGCTCAATCCACAGCATTTATGGCATAATGTTGACTACACACACACACACACACACACACACACACATATATATATATATATATATATATAAGCATCACATTTCTGCTTTTAAATACTCCAAAAAATCAAATTCCATTACATGTGCCTCACCATTTTTACTTCTTTTACTTTTTTTACAAGTTGAAAAAAGTTCAGACAGTTTAAATTAATTTTCACCTTTATGCCACAAATGCTGTAAATGACACTTAACTTGTGTTGATTTTTAACCACTGTAAAATTAATTTAATTTAGGCTTATTTAGTACTTACGAAAGCAGCAACTGTCACAAAGACCTACACTGAGCAACAACAAAATGACTGTTGCAAGACAACCTGAAAAAGAGTGGGAAAGACTATAGCCCATAAGGGCAAAATAGTAGAAAGTTTTGAAGGGTTAACATCAGGGCCTAGCATTTTTGGGGGCCCTAAGCAGACTTTCAAAAGAGGGCCCCCATCCCCTAACGTACACATCCTACACTGCCAACTTATTGTAAAGCAATGTTATTTTCAATATGTCTATATAGTTATTAATTTTTATTTCAGTTTTTATGTTTTTAGAACATCAACATCAACATAAACTAAATGAAAATGAGAAATGTTGCCTTGTCAACTAGCTAAAATAAAATAAGTTCAATTTTTTGTATTTTATTTCAGTTAACATTTATTTTATTTAAATTTTTAGTTTTAGTTTACTATATTAACCCTGTTGTAAAAATTTACTAAATTGTCAGTATCTTTTAATGCATAAATATGAAGATATATCTACTTATATATTAAACACTTATTACTTATAATAAATACTTTTAACCATTTTTAACTATTTAAAAGTTTAACCATTGCTTTCAGAAAAATATATGAAAATTTTGTGAGACTAATGCTTTAATAAAGCAAGACCTGGGTTATGAAAATTAAAGTGTAAAAAAATGTTTGAATAAAAATATGGCATATTTAAGTATTTGGTGTTATTTTTTAAAATATTTTTTAATGCTTTATTGTCAACAAATATCATGTATAATAGCACATCCCACTGTATAATATGAAAACAAAAATGTTTTTTAAATATTGTCAACAATAAAAAACTTCACATTATTCCAAAAATGCTGGGTATGTTGGCAGGACCAAAACATATGAGTAATTGTTTCAGTGGAACATTCACAGAAAGAGCATTTAAAATCAATATCATTTTTACATTTTTGTTGAAATTCTTTTAAATTTATATGAGATTTCCTTAACCTTATTTGTTAGGAGGGATTTTTGCGGTAATAACCAAACTAGAGTCAAATTTACATTATTAAAGAGATTGCTCCAGTAGAAAATAACAGAGTACTTGGTGTTATTTGATAAACACCAGAGCCGTTGAGAAACAGAGTTGCAACACTCCCATAGGCTTCCATAAGAACTGAGGAATGCGGAAGTAAAGCGTGTCATGGAGCAGCCAATAGTTCCAAACAACCAAAAGTTCCAGCACTGAAGCTCATTTATTTCAGTGCTTTTTTTTTATTTTATTTTTTTTTTACATTTTAACACATTAGTTGACCTCTCAGAAATTTGGCCAGTAGTGGTATTTGATGAAACATGTTATATTTAATGTTTATCGTTAGATAATAGACACACACACAAAAAAAATGAACAAAAAGGAATAGAAAGTTGAGCTGGCGCAGTGCTGCTATGTGTGCAGGGGTAACCATGGTAATGGCTGTATTTCTGCTGTTACTAAAGTGCCACTTCCTGTCAAAGAATGAACTTGCATTTTTATTCAGCCCGTCTGCTGCTTTTGTTCAGATCAAAGAGAAAATCTGACTGAACATTTACGTGGCAAAACTTAACTGGTCGATGGAAAATAAGCTAATGTGCGCTCTAAAAACTAAACTATTCGGATAATACGATGTCTAGAATTATTCGCATATTTTGAAGTGCCAACAATAACAATACCGTTCATGTTCCTGTCTGAACCCTGACACGGGGCCCTATGTAACAGCTTTTATCGCTTATTGGCACTGCTTGTTCACATTTGGAGCAGGCAGACAGGCACCATTGGGTCAAGTGGCGTGGACATGAGTGGGAGTGTTTAGATTGGCTGGACTTTGATTTGCTAATGTAGACATGGTCCTCAGAGGCAGGTTCTCTGTAGGCTAGGGAGGAAAGGGTAGGCTTGTATATTATGATTCAAAAGTTAAAGCAGTGGGACTCGGCCAGGTCAGCAAAACAATCCAGCTGATGTTTCGACAGTGGAAAAAAGAAACAGATAACAATCACTGGGATGAGGGCACCTTGAGACATTATCAACCAACCAGAACATTAACAACAAAACCTGAATTCAGGTGAGTTAAAGGGTTGCTTGCACCAACAATACAGTACATCAAAGAGCCTCTCAGTGTCCATTCACTTTCCTTATAAGGAAAAAGACGCAAAGGAAAGGTGATTGACACGTTCTGTCATTGTGCTTAACATCTTATTTTGTTTTCCCAAAAAAAAAAGCAATACGGGGTTGGAACAACATGAGGGTAAGTAAATAAATTTTTTTCGTTGAACTGAGTTTATCGCTAAATGGGGCTTTTATTTTGAAAGCAAGAGCAAGCCTTATTGCGGACTTTCATTTTGCTTTCCAGCAGAGCCACAGGTTCCTTTAGTAGGTCAGACCAGATGGCTCCCGGAACAATAATGTCAAGCTGAAACTAAACTCCTTTAGCCGATGAGCTGTTTTGATTATTATCCCGTTGAGTAATTTTGTTTTGATCGTTCAAACACCACCATAGCCTTTAGAATGGAGATCGATGATTTATCATGAGACCCCGCGCGCAGTATGACAGGTATTTATTTATTTATGAATACCTTTACTCTAAGCATTTTCAGGGCTTTCATAAAAAACATCAAGAATCTTAGATATAACCGTTAGAGATTATATATTATCCATCATTTAATGCAGTTATGGCTATCGAATATGGTCTGACTAACCCTAAAGTTTAGGTCAGTTCATATGTTACATTATGCACTTTAATAATCATGTAAACATGTGTAACTAAGAATTATCATACTACCAAGACTGCTGTTGTTTCGATCGGGAGCGCCGCAAGGATTTCCATTTTGGGTGGGCCATAAAAAGTTGGGGGTGGCCATAATTTTACAGTGGAGTAGTAGTGATAATATTACATACAGTACGATGATTTTTACGTTAGCGCAAGAATAAGGTAATGACGCTATATATATATATATATATATATATCACAGATTTGAGCTGGGAATCATGTGTATGTAAAAATTTTGGGTGGCAACTGTTTCGGAATACTGTATAATAGGCACGAAGCAGGTGTCGATATTCACAACAGCATGAATATAATAGTGACTTAATATTTTATAAAAAAAAAAATTATAAAACCGTTCTAGAAGTAATTAAAATAAGTAACTTACGTTTCAGACATTTAAAAAAAAAAAGGCAGTTTATATATTTCTTCTGTCCCAACAATGTTGGTTGCAAACGCCACCGCATCGAGCTTTACGTCTCCAATAGTGATGGAAGAAACGAACCATTTCGAAGCTTCGATTAAATTGAACCAATTGCTTCGCAAAAATGATTCACTGTTTCGAAGCGCTGGAAACACCACACGCTGGTGACGCCTGCTGGTCAAAACTGTGTAAATACAACAATAACTCAGACCAAAACATGCATAAAAACAGCTTTTCCAAACCCAATGAAAACGCTTTCTTGAAAATATAATATATTAATTGCAATCAAAATAATAAAATACCATTAAAAATGAAGTGTCTGTATAATAGGCCTATTATTAATTTGCAAGGGCTTCTTTTGTTTGTTTTATGGAGAGCTTGTCTAAACAGGCCAGTAAGAGACTATTAACTACTACTCATCCTTTTAATTACACAAATGTCTCATTAAAATGTCTACAAATTGATCCGAGATCGTATAACCATAGATGCTGATGCAGTGGTTCGCCGCTGCGGGGCGATCTCAGTGAACTCGCATGATTCACGGGTTCACAGAGATCATCGCCCCCCTAATGCCGAGTTCACACTGCACGATTTTCAAAGACGACGCATCACTGTTGGTTTCACACTGAACCACTATCTGGGGTAGCATTCAGTTGCTGCTGTGTTCACATTGCACGATGGAACGACGACAGGAGGTTACACACTGCATGACTTCACAATAGGAAGAATCGCCGACAGCTCTGTCTGGTGCAGGGTTGCCAGGTTTTCGCTACAAAACCCGCCCAATTACTACTCAAAACTAGCCACAATAGGAAGAATCACCGACAGCTCTATCTGTTGCAGGGTTGCCAGGTTTTCGCTACAAAACCGGCCCAATTACTACTCAAAACTAGCCTGAAAATAGCCCAATTGCTTTCGAGGGTGTCCCCCAGTAAAAATCGGATTGGGGGGTTAATTAAAAAAAATTTTTGTGGGGTTCTCCTGGTACAATTCACATTCCAGGGCCTAAATATCACGTTATTGGGGTCGCTTCAACCTGCTGACATAAAAAACAACCGGCGGCAATCGCGGATTTGGCAACACTGGTCCGCAAACTATGTTTCATATAACTCCACCCCGAACTTCCTGCTGCCCTGTATCTTGGTCTCTCATTGGCTGTAGGTCATCGCCAATGTGTTTTTCAATCAGAACTCATTTCACACAGCGTGATTGTGAATCGCCGACAGCTCCATATATTTAGCATGCCAAATATTTCGCGGCGTCGGCGACGTGTCGGTGATTCCCTCAGATCGTGTCTTTGATATTTCACACTGCTTGATTGTCACTTTACAAACTTTCACCGTTTTAATTGCTTTTTGTTTCATAGAAAATCATATAGTATCAATATAATGCTCCATTTCCTTCCTAAAAGAAAAAAAGCAAGTTTTTTTTGCAGGAGAACTTACATTTGTGAATATGAAATTTTGCATGTAAAAAATAAGATTTATCATGTAAACGTGACTGTGTTTTTCTCTGCTATTCTCTAAGACACCAAATAATACATATTTCCAAAACAAAACAAAATGACTGTCAATATTTTGTAGGTTTCAAAGCTTCATGAAGCAGTTTCAAAAGCGGCCATCACTAGTCTCCAAGCAAGGCGCGGACTGGATCACTGGAGCGGGGCGACAACGGCCCCCATTTTTATAGTTCCACTCCGGGTTATTTATTTCACACTCCCTGCTTGCTAATGAGAGAAACCCACTCTGAGCAGTGTTGCCAAGTACGCGGTTTTCCCGCGGAATTGGGCTACTTTAAGACTGTTGTTTGGGTTGTTTTTCATGTCTGCGGGTTGAAGCGACTCCAATAACATGATATTTATCCCCTGGAATGCGAATTATAGCAGGGGAACCCCGCCAAAAAAACGTGTATTTTACCCCCTGGAACAAGATTTTTAACTGGGGACCCCCTCGAAACGCCATTGGGCTAGTTTTAGGTAGCAATTGGGCAGGTTTTCTTGTAAAAACCTGGCAACCCTGACTCTGAGCGATAATGAAGCTGGGAAAAATGTATTTCTTACTACTTGATAATAAAACACCTTTCTATTTACATGGAGTTGGCCTGTTTTATGTTTGTCTTCTGATGTACTGATTTGGTTTATTTTTCAACAGAGGAATATATAGCGAGTCCAGAAGAGCGTTTAAACTGAGGGATTCACCTGATCCGATGCAAACCGATCCCAGCCCGCAGGGAGGGAACGGGCTGACATTAACCCTGCAGCCGGAGCTGCTCGCCCGAATGCCTGGAGCTGGAAGTTCCAGCGTGCCGGAAACAGACGAGGATGTCCGGGTTCCTATAGGCAGCTCACCGGGGTCCACAAGTGGACGTGGCGCGACCTCGCGGAGGCTGAGAGCAGCGAGCCACAGCCACTCCCATCCTCACGGACACACGCACAGCCACGAGCACGAGTCGGACAGCGGCGAGGCTGACCTGGAATCCGGAGAATCCAGCAGCTCATTATCGGAGCTGCGCTACCTCCTGCGCTGGCTCAAGAAAAGTCTTCCTTTCATAGTTATTCTCTGTGCGAAACTAGTCATCCAGCATGCCCTGGGTACGTGTTAGTGAGAACAGCTGTTTATGCAGTGCTTATGATGTGTAAAGTGCATGTCCCCTGTCACACTTCTGTGTTGTTGTTTTTCTGTAGGTCTGGCTGTTGCAGTGGGTTTGTTTACCACTTTTATGTACGTCAACAAAAGCATTCAAACGCAAGTCTTTCTCCACGTAAGTCCACCATATTATTTCGTATTTAACATGGAAGCTAAAGATCAGTGCTTGTAAGTTCTTTAGTATGGTTATGGGTATATATTTTTGGGGTCATTAAGATTTTAATTTTAGTTAATACTCTATCCCACAATGAATTTGCATTAAATTGATCAGAAGTGACAGTAAATATATTTATGTTTCAAAATATTTCTATTTTAAATAAATGCTGTAACTTGAGAAATGCTTCTTACAGTACTGTGCAAAAGTCGTAGGCCATTAGTATTTTAACCAACAACAACAAAAAAATGGTTTTAAGCCAGTTAGATGGCAGGAGCAGATCTCTGTGTTGAGCACTGGCTGTTGTCAGACTCCTTGTGCATACAAAAATGATTATTACAATTAATGGCAACATTTATGTATGTATGTAAAAATAATATATATTGAACTAAATAATCTGAAGGATCATTTGTTTTCTCCTGTGTAAAGGACCGAAGGACAAAGTTGCATTGTGCCTGGCTCTTGCTTTTCCTCACATCCTCCAGTCTCCTTGTGTTCTACACTTTTCACACTCAGTCACTTTATCGCTGGTAAGTGCTTTACATTGTATCACCAAACCTCACTTCACCACAAACTGTAATGTACTAGGTTTAGTGTAATAAATCAACTAAATGACCTAATCTCCACTAAATGACAAATACATACCATTGGCTCTCTCTTACTTTTTCTTGTTTCATCCCTCAGCCTCATTTTTGCCAACGCTATAATAGATTCGCAGAACTTTTGGGAGGTTTTATGGTGCGTCGGTGTGACTAACTTCATTTTGAAGTTTTTCTTCATGGGGCTCAAGTGTCTAATTCTCCTCATCCCCTCCCCGCTCATGACATACCGGCGAAGGGTGAGCATGATTCCTAACATTAATTAATTAATTTGCCGTTTTGAATCAAAGTGAACGTTAGATTCACCGTATCCATCCTGCTTTCCATAGGGTCAGTGGTACATGCTCATAGAAGAGGTGGGTCAGTTGTATCAGGTGATCGCTCCTGTCCCGCTTTGGTTCCGCTATCTGGTCAGCTACAATGAGATGGACACCTCAGTGGGTCTGACTCTGGGAATCCTGCTAGCCTTGCTCTACCTCATAATGAAGGTGCGCACAATCATTACAATAAGCTACTGTTTGAAACTAATACATTACTAGGACACATCAATCTGATCTTATTATGTTTCTTTTTTAGCTTTTGGCCTTGTATGGACTGTCAGGATCATTGCAAAAAACATTACGGACTTTTTTTAGTTCCGAGGTACAAAAGATTGCTTTTTACCTGTCCTGTGCTGCTCTCCTTATTCTGAAATATTTGTTGGGTAATCTGTAAGACAAATAGTGAAATTATACAGAAATGTCTTGTTTTCCATATATGCTGTAAAATGTTGTTCCTACCTGTCTGTAAAGGTGAACGGAGCTCCAGCCAGTCCTGCTCAGGTTAGAGAGGCAGGTGACATTTGTCCGATCTGTCAGGCTGATTTTAAGCAGCCTCGGTTCCTCGTGTGTCAGGTGAGAATGTGGTCCTTGAGTTTGACCTCCGATGTCAACCCCCCTTAACCTCCACATTCCCAGACTAAACCACAATGCTTCTTGAAGGCAAAATTAATTTTTTTTAATTAAGCTCAGCCCACATGAAAAAGACAAAATAGCAAATACAAAGTAGTAATACACAATGTCACATAATGCATGTGCATAAATGTCAACTATTTACTGTTTGATTGTCTCTAGCATATCTTCTGTGAGGAGTGCATCGCCCAGTGGCTTAACCAGGAGAGGACCTGCCCCCTGTGCCGCACTGTCATCACAGACAAGGTGCATAAGTGGAAAGATGGTGCAACATCAGCTTATTTTCAAATCTACTGAAATCTCACTGAAAGGATGGAGACACAGTGTTGTGACCAGCAGTGGATCCACAGAATATGAATTGTTTTCTCCTCTCAAACATCTCCGTTGAGCAAACAGCACTTGTTATAAGACAAAAGGCTCTAGAAAAAGCTCCAGTTTGAGTTTTTTTAATATATATATATATAGATATCTTGTCAAAAGGACAAGTGCAGCTCTTGTATTCTTATTATTATTACTATTATTTTGCATGTGGAGCTCCCATATTTTTTTAGTGTTTATAATTTATATTCCTCTATGTGTTCTTGCAATATTACTAATTACCTTCTGGGTGTAAGCAGAAAAATACAGTGGAGACAAATAGATTTCTTCATATTGTATTTGTGGAGAAAACACTAACAAATAACATAGCAGAAATTAATTTCTTGACTCCCTAAATGTATTTTTTTTTTAATGGTTTCATTTTTCATAGATACTGGTCTTTTTTATCCAGTCAGATACTGTGGTTTTTGTAACTGAACTTTTCTTAAACACTTTTATGAATCCAATCATAAGGAGTTTTGAAAAATTCTGGATTTTGCGTTCCAGTATTCTGGTTTCTTTAGTAATAATCTGAATGTGAGGTAATTGCACATGAACTACTGATTTATCAAATGATGTAGCATTAGAATTTTGGAACCATGTGATTTTTGTGACTGAACAACATACAATGGCTTTTGAATTATTAAAATGTTACTGTACCTGCTAAATGCATTTGTAATTCAGGCCCTTCACAGATACATGGTATTTTTCTAATCATGTTGCACTTACATTGTAATAAACCAAAGCTTTGAAGAAGAAATATCTATTTTAGTACCATCATACAGTATGCAGTTATAATTGTATTTTTATCCAGTATATTTGACCAAATACATTTTTAAAACCTTTAAAAAGTGTCACTGAAATTCTTTTTCCAGTAAAGGCAGGGTTGCTTGGTAAATGCTCAAATTCAACTTTGTTGATTTTGTAGAATTCACTAGAGGTTAAATTAAAATGAATTTTAAAATAAACACAAGCAATCACAAAACACCAGATCTGAAACAAATCGCATTTAATTCTGTACTTTATATCCATTCATTTTTAAAACCAAACGTGCCACTGTCTAATAAACACAGCATTTCAAGCATTTAAAATGCAAAATAAATCCTCATCTGCATCTCAATTCTTTTCACAGGCATTTTCGTTTCACTTTAGAATCAGGAAGTTTCAGAATTAGTTCCAATTCTAATGTAATGGAGTACTACAGATTTTCTAAATTAGGTTCAGGTCAACTTTTTCGAAATCGCAATTACACACCACATTATATTTTTTATAAGGAACATATAATAAAGATTTTTAAAAAACGCACACAAAAAAAAACAGACCATTAACACTTGGCACCAAGTTATGTCTTAATATTCCAACATGACTGCAAGAATCAGTGGAAGATGGTTTGAGAGGTTTTAAACCCAGTCTAGTGATTATATGAACTGGGCTCATGGTCAATATCCAACTCATCAGACAGACACAAGTGATACATTAAAGCCATTTATGCCACATTACAGACCCCTCTCTCTCAGACATCATTGCATAGAATAAATGGTCAATATTTGTCTATGCGAAGGCAAAATTCACATATGAAGCCATTACGGGCTGTTAACCGCCACGGCACAGCAGGCTGTTGTTTATCAGTAGGCACTGTATCTGACAGCTTAAGATATTCACAATCATGCTTCCTGTGCATAGTGAGTACAGCCAATTATTAGCTTGATGGAAGCTGCTGAAAAGTCCAGACAGTTCAATCAGAGCAATGGCCTCCTAATGTCCAACCACGATTACAATCTACATTACGGAAATTAGAGTTTGAGGATTGAGGTTAACATCACATTCAATCAGTCAGTTACAATGTCACAACAGAACAATGTTCTCAAGCAGAAAACAAGCCTATTTTACATTCCCATGGGAAAAAAGTGTGCCATTTAGAAATTGTTTAAATGTGGTCACACAGACGCAATCGCAGCCTCACACGCAGACGTTCATTGATAACAATAACACAGTACTACGAGGACAGGAATGCCTGTGAAACACAATACATGAAACCACCTGTGATGACTAAATAACCCCTGCTTACAGACAGCAAATGTTAACAAGATGCAGATTCAGTGTTCACCAGTTGGAGTCACAGCATCATACTTATTGTATCTATAAGAACTATTATACAAGGAAAGAGCACCAATATTCATGAAGAATCATGTCTATGTACAACAATGAAAAAAATACTGATTTTTGTTTATTTTTTATTTTATTTTATACTTTATTACTCTTCCATCATCTTCTTTTCCCTTAACTACATCCAAGCTTATTTAATCAAAATTCAATAGAACGATACATAATCCAGTGGTTTTCCCCTCATCTGGTGCACAGTGCACATCCTGAAAACATGCTTAAAATCCCAACATTTTTAATGTCCTTGATATTAATAAAATTACTTTGACCCCAACACCATTATAGAAAGAAGTACTAAATAATAAAAATTAAAGGGGTTTGGCATGTCTTTGTGTTCATGTAACTAATCAGGCTAAATCCAGAACAGCATTCTTGACTATAAATAATAAATAATTTGCATAGTTTAGAAAACTACATGGCACCTGAAAAATAAATAGGTTAAAAAAAATAAAAATAAAAAAAAGTAATCAATGATAGGGGAAGTGTTAAGGAAACTATTTCAAAACTCGTCTTGCTGTCTAGGGTGAAAAGTAAAATTAAATAAACATTCTGTTTAAAATCAATAGTTTTCACAGATGGTTGACAGCAGTATTAATGGCATTTGTGGATGTGGCTTACAAATAAGTAACTTTACTTTGGATTAAGAGGATTTAAACAGTTTTATTTAGTAATCTAATATTTGTAATATTCTTTGGTCAGACAGTTTGGTTTGAAAAATAAAAACAGTGATTTGATACCCAGAACGCAGGTAGATTCATACCTGAATGTATGAATATTAAATGTAATCAAGAACAAACCAAAACAAGAGAATAATTTCATGAATCATCTAATACTGTCTTATGAACTTACAGCAAATGAACTAACACGAAAGAAAAAAAATCAGCTTATATTTTTTACTTCATAGTTTATCATTAGTAAGTTAGGCTACAACGACTGTAGATCTCCAAGTGCCCTACATCGTGATTCTAGGGATCCTAACAACTGTTGATGAATTAGGAATCAAATATATATCATAAATCAGACAGATTCCTCAAGAATGCAGACCTGAATCTTCTCTCGCCATTTTAAAAGGCAATCCACCCAACAATTAAAATTCTGTCATCATTTACCCTCATGTTGTTCCAAACCTGGATGACTTTCTGTTCTTCTGTGAAACACAAAAGAAATTTTGAAGCATAATTCAACTGTTTTTGTCCACATAATGAAGGTCAATCGGTCTAAAACAACAAAACGCTGAGAAAATCATCTTTCGTGTTCCACAGAAAAAAGAAAGCAAGTTATACAGGTTTGGAATGACATAAGGGTGAGTACATGACAGAATTTATTTTATTTTTTTATCCATTTAAATACTGTTAGAGCTATCCCAACATCATACAGTCAAGCAAAACACAATAAGTGACTCAAACTTCAAATATACAACAGAAGACACAATGAATTCTCCCTCACGTTTTGCATGAGCATGGCATATAAAAGATAAACTGTGAAATTCATGCTCAGAGTCGCCTAAAGTGCAAGGTGGTCTCTCTTTTTCATAGCAAGCAGCAGACCAACTCACCATGGTGCAAGTAGAGAGAGGACAAGCTCTGCATGCTTGCAAGTACACTAATGCTGCAAGTGTTTAAGTGACAGAAACTGGGTGCAGAAAGGCCTTTTGGGTCATTTGATAAATTCCTAAAGTACAAAACTTAAGACGTTCATCAATGATTCATCCTCCGATTCTTGGGTCTCCTGCCGCCCGCTGGGTGAGCTGGTTTCATGAAGGACCCCGTGTTGGATCCCAGTGGTTTTTTGATGGGGAGAGGGGCTGACACCTCCATGTTGCTGCTAATGTCCATCTGCTCCACATTAGACACCTCCATGGGCGTATCAGTGGGCGGCAGGAGAGAGGAGGTGGTTGTGGGCACTTCTGGGAAGGGTGGACCCCGAGACCAACCGTCTTCCCCTTCAGCCTTCATAGGGCTGGAAAACGCAAGTATGGCATCATGGGTTATGGATCTCGATTCATGTTAAGTTACAAATGCAAAACCAGGATAAACATGACATGTTACAGCATGTACACAACCTTGGACTTGAAAAAAGCCCAAATAAATTAAATCATTGTCATTCCCTACAAAATCACAGGGCTGGGAATCAACACACATTTCAATTAGTTAGTGTATATGTACACACACACACACACACATATATATATATATACACACAT